CAGGAATGTAATCACACCCTTTCCTCTGTACGTGCACTATACACGAAAGATACATCAAGCTTGCCACCAATTGACACGACACCGACTTGAGATGCACTTGGGCAGCGTAACAGGTAATCGGGAGGAACTGTTAAGCTCTCGATAACGACAAGGAAGAAAGCGACCATGTAGCTGCAGCGCTCATGAGGTAGGCAACGTTTTTGCTGTGCGGCCAGCACAACCTTCACGTTTGCGGAACAGCTGGAGACCTGTTCTCGGATGAATCACTTTCGGGGACACTTTCGGAGATTTTTCACAGTACAAGCACGGAACTCATCGGTGTTTGCGGAAGGCAGATATTATTAGCGAAATTCCAAGCACTGCTTTTTATCAGTGTCAGAAACGGTGCCACCGTGTTGATGTTCGTGCGTACGGTGCAGGGCACGTGAAATCTCGCGAAAACGCGAGACAATCCCCGGAATTCATCGTGTCACTGTGGCCACCCTGCAGGGTCTACACGCGCAGTGGTTCATTGATTCGCGCCAAAGAGTTAAAATGACAGTACTGTTTCGAGGGAAAGTGGAAGCTCGGCGAAAAACCATCAGAACAAACCCTTTGTTCGCAAAGAGTGCAAGTGCGTTGCCTGTCCTGTACTTCAGCCATCCTTCCCCCTCTCCATAGGCTTCTTGACTAAGGTAAGACTGGTGGGTATTACTTGAGATATAGTATACTTTAGATAATGTCCCATTCTGGCCTCTCCTTGCGGAAAAATTATGCACTGGCAAGTCTGCCCCCCTGTCGGTGCCTCTCCCTAGCGCTCTACATCACAAAATACCCCCTTCTTCATTTTTCTTTCTTTAACAAGTATTCAGAGCACCAGATACTCTGATCCAATCCGTCTTTTATGGGAAAGAATGTAGGCTTGGTAATGTGTGACTAGTAACCCGTCGTAACAAACATAACGCAGAAATTACGCAGACGCTTATCTTCACCCATCTCTGTTGGGTGAATCGGACACTGCTATAATGCCATAAAGTGTAGAATTCGGTCTTGTTGTCATATCTTGTAACGAAGGCATTTTAAACCAATCAGAGAGGCCGTCCTCTGGGCAAACCGGAGTTCACAAGATGTCGAATTAGAGAGTGTCCAGATTAGCACCCACAAACTGTATGAACCGATCGTTGCTTGTCTCAAAGGCATCGAATCGCGGCGCTGGATTGCAGATCATGGTAGTGCACTTCGGCGCCGCTGAGAAGCGCTGCGCGCGCTGACGTGGGTGGCGGAATGAGTAGGCGTATCGTTCTGTTCGTGTTAATCCACCTTTACATACTAGAACAAACGCAACGAAATACAATTTTTGTATCACAATAGATGGCCATGATTCTGGATTTATCATATTTAAGTTACACTGCCAAGTTAACGGACTGATTGTCAGCTGTTCCAATGGGGTAGGCTGGATGCCACATCAAACTAAAGAGATTTCCCAAAAAAGGTCAGTCAAAAACGCAGTCTCCCAGAAACCCGTCAGGTAACTCGAACTTTGTAAGGTTGTTTCTATAACATCTATTAAGCGCTCATTACCTGTTAAAGCGTTCTCTTACAATCGAAATTACTGTTAAAATGTTCTCTTCCAATCAAAGCCGGGCTGGATTTTAAAGCAAGGATCGTTTTGAAGCTGGCAAGTTCCGTCATGCTCCCACCGTCTAATATTTGCCTTAGGTGAAGAAGAAAGGGGGTCTTAAGTTTTAAACTGTCTTCTTTATTACGAAAATTTTTGTCCCATTGTATACGTTTGCAAGTGACTGATCCTAATGGTCATAGTAATTTACTGAGTCATCTGAAAAAAGGTCAAGCACACAGCCCGTAATATGCCATCGAGTCGCCTAACTTGCAGGCAATAATCAATGTGGATGCTTGGAAGATATAGCTATGATATGACGTCGCTAGACAAAACGAAATCGAAAAATATATTTATCACGGACGCTCACATAAACACTTGATGGCATGAAAAACGCGGGATCTCTTGGTATGTAACGGCAAAACTGGTCGGTCGCGTGTGCGCTTGCCATGCCAACAATCAATACTACTGACCGGCGCTCAACGCGACTGGGCTGTTTATATTCATTCAGGCATCGTGGTGCATTGTAGATGCTTTCTAAGGCTTCGGGTGTGGCCTTGTAAACAGAGGAGCGTTACGCTTAACAACACACGAATGCGGTACTTAATTACTATAACCGCATGACGAGTGGTACAATGTGTGTGCAGAGCACGTGACAACATAATGGACAGCCGCGTGTTTTGTGCAGGTCTTCCCTTCAGTGAATTTGTGACACATGGAGCACAAATACTCAGTTATTCGCGTATTTTCTCCAGACCGATCTCACTGTATGCATGCATGGCGCGTCAAGGAGGCGTTGAAGCCCAGTCTTCATGCTTATGCCGAACCCGCCCGGCTCTGATAATTTCGCCGAAACCAAAGTTATAGAAGAGTCATGAGACGCACGGAAAACGGGTTGCTCACGCGCCAACTCGCACAGCTCTCGAATTCTCATGCAGCAGTTGCGGATTTTATCAATTGACAGGATTTGGGTGCACGTTAAAGAACCCCAGGTGGTCGAAATTTCCGGAGCCCTCCACTACGGGCGTCTCTCATAATCATATGGTGGTTTTGGGACGTTAAACCCCACATATCAATCAATCAATTGACAGGATGCAGTGCAGACTGCGGTGTCGATCCGTCGTTAGTTTCACCCGACACTGTGAACGAAACTTATTATGCGCAGCACTGAATCAGTTTACATTGGTGGATCGCTCTGTTGAGGCGCTGCTCAGCGTCTATATGAAGTTAAAATGGTTGGTTACAAGCGGACGAACTACACGGAAATGATTTTTTTTCTCTTTAATTTCGAGCACGAGCTGTGACTGCATCGAGGCCGACCATATAGCTGGCATTCTATTTGAGAGAAGCACACTTTTGCACGACTTTTATCTCGACGTGATCCTATAGTACGTTCGGGTGACTTCCGAATTGAAGGATATAGATTTCGTGCGTACTTAACAAGACAGGAAGAAATCTAGACGCGCTGAAAGCATGGGTACGGTACAGAATAAAAACCTCATTGTTTGGAAGGACAAGCGAAGCGTGATTGCTTCGTTGTGGAACTGATGTTTCCCTTGTACATATTTACGGCGGGGATGCTTTTTTTTTCGAATCATCGCGACTCCGTTATATGCATTGTTTAGTCATATACAGCTACTGTTAGCTCATTTTCTTTCTCGTGTACTTGCGTTGTAGCACATCAATGATGTCATCATGTTGACTGTCCCGCCTTCATTCAGTTCAGGCAACGCACATGATGTGTTTCTCTTTTACGTCCTATACCGGGCCGAGGAATAAGTATTTCGTATGACAACGTAGGAGAACGGGCAAAGAACATGCGTTCGAACACGCGGTTGCTGCATTCGTATGGGTCATGTTGTATGGGAGTGTTTTTTTTTTTATCGGGTCGCGCTTTTGTGCTAAACAAGAACGGCTAGCAACTCAATATAAGTACACCTGTTGAACTTTGCTGGGTCACGAATCCGTGACATTGTTTGGCTGGAGGGTTCGATACCCCAACGCATCATACCAGTCACGTATAAATGTATCTGTTTAGTGGCTAAGGGCTAACTTTGATCAGCCAAGGCTTTTTAAACGTGCCCCGAAAGATGGCACAATTCAACGTGCACTATCCCACTTAATGCAGCCTGAAAAATTTCTTAATGTAGTCATTGCCATATGTCCCTCAACATTGTGAAATTCAAAATGAATATATAGAGGAGATAAAGAAAAAAATAGTGATAAGATAAAGGGAGAGTGCAACAGAGCGCCCGTGGAAAATATTTGTGGAAGATCCGTTGTGCAGATGCATCACATGTGATACACGTATCGCCGGAAGGCGAGGCATTTCAGTTTTTGTATAAGCTGACTCAGAGTATCGGCACAAGCGCACAAGAAAAGTGAAGGACAAGGTAGAAAGTGTTGCATACAACACTGAAGAGCCCCTTAAACCACCCAGATATCGAAGCTTAGTAGTGGTTTTGCAATTGTGCGCGTGCCTACAACGAACACGTAGCCGTGAGAATTTTTCGAAAAAGTGACGTTGTAGTGGAGTTTTACACGCCATTGATGATACAAAAGAGGCCGTCGTTCGTTTCGCTCTTTCCTTTGTTCGTCGGCTCGTCTCTCCCCCTTGCCGAGTGCTCCTCTCCACATTGCGAGGAGGAAGAGCGGCGAGTAGAGAAACAGGCTTGTAGATGGCGAGCCCATGACATTGTGATGTCATGGCCAACATTTGAGGGTGTGATCAGTCACGGCTGAAAGACCAGGAGAGGAGAAATTAAGGGATTTTTTTTTTTTTAGAATTTGTGGGCACCCACAGCTCGTAGCTCTGTTGTGTTCGACATTGTTCGTCGTAGCACTCTGAAAACGATGCGCTCGTTTGCCTGAAATGTTAACAAAAATATTATGCAAGGTGGTTTAAGGGCCCTTTAAGTTTGATTTTTTGCCTATCTTGCGTTGCGTGATAGCAGTCTTATAAACCTTTCTTCTGCCAGTTGTCCATAAAACCTACCCTATGACCATCGCGTCAGAGATGTCAACATGGCGCGATTACCTCACCGTTCGATACGCCATTTCAAAGCGCTCCCATAAACCGATGGCGTTGCCTGTGTGTTTTTCTTTTTTTTCAGTGCAAGTCGGGAGCCAGCGCCGATATCCTAATGGGCGAGCTGTGATAGATTCCACGTCTAAAGCCCACGGACGCTTGGGTCATTACAGGTAAGAGCACTACAGTTGGCCTTTCGTGGCTGGAACAATCACTTTAGGCGCAGCCGGGGGCGCAGCGGACCCCCGCCGGTGGCATCTGCGACCCGCAGGCAGGCAGCAGTGCTGCAGGCTGCTGCCAGTGGTCCCACGCAGCCGTAATGATGCCGCGCTGAGGCCAAGGCTGGTGGACCTGAGCGGCCGGCGACGCCAGCAGTCAGGGTTCGTACTCGTGCAGGCGTTTCCTGAGCACGTCGTTCTCCTGCTGCAGCTTGTGCACTTCCTCTCGCTAGCGCGATGTTCTCTTTCTCGAGGTACGAGGCCCTCAGCACGATCTGGTTCTCCTTGACGCGGCGGACCTCGCGCGACCGCTTGGCCGCGATGTTGTTCTTCTGGCGGCGCGCCCAGTACTTGTCGTCCTTCAGCTCGTTGGGCACGAACTGCTTGCGCGACTTCTTGACGATGGGTTGTGGTTTGAGTTCGTCCTCGGAGAAGGGGTGGTGGCTCGGGTCGAAGTCGTCGTGACCGGGAAGGTTGGCCAGCGCCAGGTCGGTCTTGGTGAAGCCGCAGTCGATCGGCACCACGGTGGCGGTGGGCGAGCCCGACCGGCGTCCAGCCGCCATGGGGTCAGCATGCAGCTCCTCCTGGAGCTCACCTCGTCGCCCCGGAAGTGCTCGGCCAGTGACTGCATCGAGTAGCAGGCGCCTTCCGCTGCGTCGAAGCCGGAAAAAGAGAATAGTATTAGGTCATTTTCCTCGTCGCTGTGAGTCACCACTGGACGTGCAGTCGACAGGATAAATTATGTAGAAGTGGTGGCGACACTGGCGTCTTTCGAACGCCGACCCATGTTTCCCACTTAGGGAAAATCTCGGAGCGCATAACATCGCGATGTGGCCAGCGCTGCAGTCGCGTGCCGGCAGCAGCTCGCGCATGCGTAGACGCTTGAGGAGCGTGCTGTTGAACCACATCGTCTGCGACGGCGATGCGCGCTAGCTCGAGCAGCCTGCTGCGCTGGCCGCATCGCGAGGACATTGCGCTACGAGGTTTCCTCTAAGTGTGATACTGACTGTACTTAGTGAATGCGCAAAACGCTAACCAACTAACCAGCAAAAGCGTCCAGTGATACGTTTTAGTTTGGTTTACTTTACCTGTGAATGTCACATAGTTTTTATTTCACATGGTGTAAGGGTAACACGCGTATGAAAAAAACAGCAACATTGAATCATCATGAGGCGAAACGAAAATAGGCATGCGTTACAAATGTACGACATTCGGTGGACACTGCTCTCGATCCCAAGCCCTATAGAGTATTTTAAGGATATGTGTGGGATATCTTTGGGATGCAATATCTTTGGATATCTTTGGAATCTTTGGGATATCTTTGGGATATCTTTTATTGATTGATATGTGGGGTTTAACGTCCCAAAACCACCGTTTGATTATGAGAGACGCCGTAGTGGAGGGCTCCGGAAATTTCGACCACCTGGGGTTCTTTAACGTGCACCCAAATCTGAGCACACGGGCCTACAACATTTCCGCCTCCATCGGAAATGGGGATATCTTTGGGATATCTTTGGGTAAGTAATGCGTAACAGATGGGCCGTATGTGAAAGAAAACTCACTACAGAAACTCGCGGAGACCAGATAATGAATACTTTGAAACAGAAGTGGCACAAAAGAGTGCGTACGCCATATGCAACAGTAAGAAAAGGAATTGAAAAAGAAAAACACAGCGAGCGAGTTACGGCACTGTAAGAGCAGCTACGATGCCAATAGCTCAAAAAGGATGGTAACAAAAATATGACGAGCATATCATCGGGCTCGTTTTTATATTTTCAACGACTCAAATGGGATGTCTGAGGAAATGAAAGTTCAAATGCAGAGAACAATTCTATCTTAATAAACATTTTTTTTCTACCTCTGCTGCTAGCTTAATCGTTGATGATAACTCTTAACTAGATGCATTACTCAACAAGTAAGAAATGTGGGTACAAGAAGGGAAAGAAGAAAAAAAAAGAGGGGCAGAAGGCAGGGAGGCTAACCAGAGAAGCTTTCGGTTGGCTACCCTGCAGTGGGATATTAGCGAAAAGAAACAAAAAGATGATAGAGAAAGATAAACAGTCTTAAGCGTGCGGGACTACACCACAAATCAGTGGCGTTCGCAAAGGTCGGTTGTCTTCAAAATTGCAAGAGTTCCTTCATGGTCTCGTGTGGTATGCACAAGAAAGAAAGAAAGAAAGAAAGAAAGAAGGAAGGAAAGAGAAAATGAAAGAATGAATGAAGGAAAGAGAGAAAAAAAGAAAGAAGGAAAAAGATAAAGAAAGAAAGAAGGAAAGAGAGAAAGAAAGAATGAATGAAGGTAAGAGAGAGAGAAAGAAAGAAATAAAGTGGAAAATGCAGCTACAGTGTCTCTCCGAAATTCAGGTGATTCCTTAGCTTCTACGGAGAAACCTACGACAAGGACTCGCTCGCTGGATTTCGTGCCGACCGGTTGTGCACCCGCGATCTCCGACGACAGCGCAGCTCTGGCCGACTGGCTCGCTCTACGCCGTCTCCTGACACCGACAAGAGCTCTCACTGAGTGGTGCCCCGTCCTCAAACTTCTGCGAACGTGTCCCTCTTTCCTATCTTCTCCTTACTTCCGTATGTGGCTGTCTAATAATAATGACTTTATTTCGCATCAAGGATACATGATGCAGGAGACCTGCAGAAAAAGCTGGCGTGATGCCAGCTTGACAAGGCCGCAGGCCCCCCTTCCCCCTCCCCGAACACATCGCAGCAGCGGTAACACTTTCATAAAAACATTCGGGATCATACGCGTAAAATAAACAGGTCTATGACAAGAAAGAAATCATCACTGTACATGTGTGATAAAACGAAACGTCTAATGCTTAAACAACAACAACAAAAAATCTATTTCAAAAGATGCAAAAAGTGTTGGCGTATTTGCCTTAAAAAAAGGAAGCATTTGCGTAATACATCCGAGCGAAGCGCCTTTCTCTCTTCCTGCTCCTCTCTCTATCTCTACACCTCTAATTTTTCCCTATCCTTTCTTAATCCCTCCTTACCGCCATCCCCTGCGCAGAACTGTGGAGGTGCCCTCCATTGAGAAAGAGGCAGTAACGGAACTGCGCTTATTTCTTCCTTTTCCACTTTCAAAAGTCACTTAATAAACCTACGACAACGTCGAAACGTCCTTTTTTATTGCGAATATAAGTTGAAGAGATCGATAATAAAATCAAGATACATCCTTCCTAATGACACGCATCATGTGTTAATAAATGAAATATAATGAATTAGCGAGGTTTTCAAGGGGCTGAAGCACAATACCATGTCGAAGGACCCTCCCTCAAGAAAGTATTCATTATTAACTATTTTTTGTTGCTGACTTTTTTTATTTTCTATGGACTTTTTTTTTGGCGTGCATTTGAATAACGCGCGCTATTTTTGTGAGGGCGAAGATAAGGGAAACTGGGGACGTGTGGAGCATGCGCAGGAGGATATACGCGCAGAACAGCGCAAGAAGTGCACTTGCAGGAGTTGTGGCCAAGCCTCTGCTGCGTGCACCCAGGGTGTTCCCCGCTGGGTGGCGGTCCGCCCAGGGCCGGTTCCTCGGACTGCTGTTGCGGCTGCAGGCCTCCGGGATCGGGGGCGAGCCGATGCGGGTCCACCATAGAAGTGGCGGCCTGTCGAAACGGGTTGTGGCGCGGCGAGAGCGCAGCGACGCCCTTGCCGGCCACTCCGTTCTCGCTGAGGAACTCGTCCAGGTCCATGTACTCGAGCTTGAGCTCGGAGAGCGTGCGGTCCCACAGCATGCCGCCGCCGCCAGAGCCGGCCGAAGCCGGGCCGGTGTCGTACGCCGCGGCCGTCGCGTCCTTGGAGTCGAGCTTCTCCTTCTTGTCGGCGGAAGACGAAGTCCCTGCGAGACCTCGGATATTTGAGAAAGCTTCCCATGTGTGCTCAAATGCATCATCATTTAAAAAAAAAACTCCCAAGCATTTCCCCGAGGGTGAACATGGTTAAGTGCGAATACACGGGATGATGCTATGAGGGGTATTTATTAATTCGCACTATTATATTTATTAATCACACTATGGTGCCTTTATGGTGTAATGGTTCCTGGGAATCGCAATTTGATCGCACGGGGGAGTTTACGTTAACTCACTGGCGAATGCCAACGGATTTTAACTTTACTCCCCCTCACGACCCGCTCTCGACGGGAGACTGAGAGAGAAGGCGGGCGCGCGAGAGAAAGGGGTGCGCGCGCAGCTGCAGTGAGCGAGGAGAGCGGAGGAGCGAGCGAAGGGGGAGGGGGTATAAGGCGCGTTACTGACACCGATATCAGCGTCGCGTCCGTGGCTTATTCGGTAGAGCGTCGCGCTGCAGCCCGCCAAGTCCTCTTTCATTTAAAGATAGAGAGAAGACTGCGGACGCCGCCGACGGCAGTGGATGGTTTGGGGTCGCTTATAAAGTGTATTCACACTTAAAACACCAGCTACTCGAATTGATTGATTGATTGATTGATTGATATGTGGGGTTCAACGTCCCAAAACCACCATATGATTATGAGAGACGCCGCGCTCCGGAAATTTCGACCACCCGGGGTTCTTTAACATGCACCCAAATCTGAGAACACGGGAAGCTACTAGAATTAAATATGCGCTAAGGATTAGAACGGTTCATCTTGCATGAGTAAATTACTAATTCACGGTGCCAAAAGCACCGCACTTGGCGCTAAAAGACTCTTGGCGTGCGAGAAAACACGCAGAAGGGAAACGCGGATAGTTATCTACGCCACCCTGAAGATCTAGCACCGGTCGTCTACTAGGGCATCCGCAGCTCCCTAATCGGTGAAAATGAAAACACAGTCTTTTCAGGGAGGCAGATACCTGAACTGCCAAGCTTCACGAAACTTGTGGAGTCAATGTAGCCAAGACACGCAAGAACACATTGAAATCCGTCACGTTACCATCGGAGTTTTCCTGCTGGGAAAGTTTGACAGGGAGAATTTTAACCTTAATGAACGTACTGTGATGAAGTCAACACTAAAATGTCAGCGTATAAAGTATCAGTATAATGTAACTTCATTGTCTCACCACAGTGTCCAACCTATTAAAGGGCACCTCACCAGGTCCGATCATTTTGAGCTGACGAGCACAATGCATACATTTCATGCTCGCAATCACGCCGCCTGCCGAAATTCGCAACGCTATGCGCCGTAGAAAAAGGTCAAAGTTCGAGCCGAACGTCACATGCCTCTCGCGGGTGCGCGCCGCAAAATGGAAGGGATGACGCACGACAAGAAGTGACTAACTGTGCATCGTTATATGTACCCTGACGTCGCTCCTCTACGTAGGCAATCGGTTATCTCACGTAGCTCGCTCTACCACGTGACGCGGCCATAAATCATTGACGCGACATGTGTAGCTTGTTTGATGTATGGCTTTAATAGATGAACAAACATTGAGAAAAAAATAATAAGAAACACAGACATAATCTGTGCACTTTTTTTATTTTATTGCTAGTCGCAGTGAGATGCGAGATTAATCTGCCTCCGTTTCGCATGATTCAGTGTACACGTAGTGTATACGCGTCATGCAGACGCCACCTCTTACAATGAAATGATTTTCTGCCGCGTTCGAGCGCTCGCTACTTTATCCTCCTAAGGTCCCTAGATGAAACTTGCTTCATCTAGGGACCTTATATCTTCCCGCGTCCAACTGAATGTCCAAGCGTCACCGGCCGTGATATCCATACCGCTAGTCCCGTACCCGTACGTATATGCCGCAACTTTCATGCTCAGTAATAAGGTTGCAAGACTAGTGATCAGCGAGGGCGCATTCAGCGTAGCTTGTCGAGAGATGAAATGCGAAGAACTCAGACAACACACCGTTCCCGTCTTGGGGGCTCGGGCTGGTTCATATACTATAGAGTTTGCTAAATTTATCTAGAGGGGACTATAGCGCTGTGATAGCCACCATGGGAATTCACACTAGTTTGCCAATAGTCTTTGTGATTGCGGCTTCGAATGCAGTTGTGGTTTTATTTATTGGCCTGTTTTATTTTTGTTTCGCATAAAAGAACGCACCGTTGCGAACGTTGTGACCCAATTTGAATTGATGAGCCTGAAAAAGTTGAGGTGGTGAAGTGTGATTGCCAAAATTTGCCGATTTTCGTCTCGTGAGAAAGCGGTTCTATGCCATGCGAAGCCAAACGGATCCGAAACAATAAAGATAAGACGCATCATGAAGGAAGGTACTGCCTATGCACTCCCATGCTGGCTGAGACGCCGTGCGTTGCAGCTCCCATAGACACTAGGGCCTGAGTTCCCTTTAGTGTACTTAAATGAACTTCTATGGGCTGGTTCAGGCACTTCGTGCCCACGTGCCGATGACGTATCGATGCGTGTGCGTCACGTGATCCTCCAGCTCAGATGCCGAAGGGGATAGGGAAGGGATTCGGCCTGCGGAGGGTTCACCGGGGCGAGCGGCAAGGGTTCAAACTCGCGTCCTCGCATCATTGTTTCGCGCCGCCTCGAAATATTGTTTTTCTCGGCTTCTAATAAACCGACCGGAAACGTTGCTGTGGCATAATGTTCTTCGTTGGGCGCTCAACGATTTCTGATGCCTAACTACGATTAGTTATGTGACCTATATAAGGGGCGTTATTTGTTGTTGCTCAACCTCACTACGATATTTATGACGTAAATGTCAAGAAACCAATGTGGACAAAAAGACAATTGCATTGAACGCGTTATTCGGATATTACAAGTTTTGTTCCCGCCGGCAAAAAGTTGTTTTTTCGTCCACTCGAATTTTTATCTCATTTCTGTCTGAATTTCTACAATACACTCAAAATTCCTATAAGAATCATAGCATCCCACATGCCATCATCGGTTTCGCTGTCTCTCGTTTTTTATTAAGATTGTGTCCACCAAAGCAAAACAAGCCCCTAAAATTCCTCTTTCGCGCTCCGGAATGAGAGCGCGCTCCGGAATGAACGCAAATTGCATTCGATCTTTTTGCCCAAACCGCGTTTTGCTAGACGTCGTAAATAAGGGCTTATGTTCGCCTCTTAAGAACATCCACCATCGCGCTTCTGGTGTTTGCTTTGGTATTTCTACCCGTCCAACCTCGTTAACATGCCAGTGCTTCAGTCGTCCGACCTTCTTCCATTCCCACTATGGAAATTTCCCCTTCATCGAGCCCTCCTGAGACACTTGTCAGCAACTTCACTGAGGAACCGCCTGTGAAACTCGGCACTGTGTGTGTGATGTGACATGTGTCTATCCTTCTCTCTCTTTTTGCTCCCCCCTCCCCCTCCCCATGTGTACGGTAGCAAACTGGGCGCATAGTCTAGTTAACCTCCCTACCTTTCCTACATTCCTTCTCTCTCTCTCTCTCCCCCCTTCATCGCTTATTCAACGCAGCTCAATATGCACGGGAATTTTGAACGCCACATAAACTTCATTCGGGAACCGACGTTGATTGATTTGTGGGGTTTAACGTCCCAAAACCACTATTTGATTATGAGAGACGCCGTAGTGGAGGGCTTCGGAAATTTCGACCACCTGGGGTTCTTTAACGTGCACCCAAATCTGAGTACACGGGCCTACAACATTTCCGCCTCCATCGGAAATGCAGCCGCCACAGCCGGGATTTGATCCCGCGACCTGCGGGTCAGCAGCCGAGTACCTTAGCCACTAGACCACCGTGCCGGGCTCGGGAACCGACGTGAAATTTGTTTTACTGCACTATATTAAATACATTGATGCGCTATCAAATCTCTCACGTACAAGTTCGCGCTTCTCTGTTTTAGGTCTCATTTCTAGAGTTCCGTCGGCTACCTGATGACTTATGCATCCGCCCCCACTGCATTTGATTGTAGTGAACGCACTCTGTGACTTTTGACTAAGGGCCGTTCCACGCGCTTCCCGCACAGCCGCAACACACTTCCCGCACAGCCACAACGCACGTGCCGGGACCCCTGCCGCACGCAAGCGGGGGAGAGCCAATTGGCGACGCTCTTTCACCCGCCGCGGCATGGCCAATTGGCTTATTTGTCCCCCGCTTGCGTGCGGTAGAGGTCCCGGCACGTGCGTTGCGGCTGTGCGGGAAGCGCGTGGAACGGCCCTAAAAGAGTGTTATTTGCATAGAGCTAACCCATTTCTAGGAGTACTGAGAGGTATAATCTGACACTTGCTACACATTAAAGGAGAAACAAAGCCCGGTGTTCAACATTATTATGGTGCCCCCCCCCCATCCACACGCACACATACACACACACTATGGTGGGGCTGATAGCCGTATCGTAAAGCCGCTTGTTGATCGCCAGTGGGCTAATCTCCCTATCCCTCCGCTTGTTCCTTCCTTCTGTTCAGCTGCCAGCTATTACTCTGAAAATCTATAGAACCAGCCGTGAGCATAGATCAAGGACTCTGTGCACAAGTTGCGTTCCTGAGCTCCACGCTAGCGATGACTGACTAGCGTTCCCTTTCCTCGATTCATTATAACTACACATATTTGGCTAATCTGTTTTCGAATAGGTGCTTCAAGAGTTTGGGGCCCCAAAGCCCTTTGCGTATGGACGCTTTGGGTCAAGCAGGAGCGATGAGTTTTGGAATAGGGTCTGCGGCGCTTTGGGCACTCCCCCTTTTCTAAGTCACTCTGGTCTTGGCCGAAAGATGTCGCTCTAGTGGGTGCCGTCACGTTTGTCTGACCCAGAACTTTTGGAGCAGGCTTTGGGGCTCCTGCTAAACTCTAGAAATAGTGTTTGCAACCCAACGCCCGAAAGTGGTTTAGGCTTTGTGCATGCGCAGTGGTCTTGACGCTATTTACTTGGGGCCCCTATTCGAAAAATCCCTAATACTTGCATTACAGCCGTCGTCAAGGGACTGTTATGGCGGAATATATTTTGTCTTCAGCTCCCGCCATCTTTAGTTGTTTTGGTGTCTCGCGCAGCCTTTTCAGTTAAGAGAAATCGTAGAATGCACGACATCAATTTTCCTTCGTTTAGTGCAAAAGGGCGTATAATGTAGGCTAAACACAAAAAAAAATCGTGCTTCATAGGATCTCACTCTAAAAAAAGCGCTATTTCCTACAAATATATCAAAGCGCAATTCATCATTACTTTTTTTCACTGCACAGTCTGTAATTGAAGCCGCCTTCCCTTTGTCGAATATCTTTGTCTTAGGAGTTTTGTTTTGTTAACTGCTATACACTAAGAAATTCGGCTCATGACTGGCTGCTTGAACGACTGCGAAAAGTCTGCTAACGGGGATCTTAATGTCGTTCGAATTATGGGGCACAGGCACGTTTCTGTTCAGACTGCGACCATGACCCCGCAATCTGCGGTCGCAGTCTGAATAGTTTTGATGGCATCAGCCATATATAAGGCGCGATTGAATACCACGGCCTGCGACGTATAGGCAGAATAAAGCCGTATCGGCTTACTCGCGGAGACTTTCAAAACAGCGGCTTGTAACAAAACCTCAGTTTCTAATCTGCACTCGGAGAAAACGAAGGGAGACCCTCTACGTCCGAGCTTTACCCAAAGGCAACGCCGACTTTCCGCTGGAAATGTTTGACGGCAAAGACAAAACAAAGCACGAAGACTGACTGCATAAGTAAACACGGCTGTGGGTTGTTTGAAGACGAGTGATGACGAGGGACAGTTTTTTACTTTTGTTTTCTGTAAAAGCCTTTCAAACCTTCGCCCTCGTAACCCTGCAATTTAGCTTGCATTTACATCTGCATTGCCCGACACGGCTAGAAGCTGGCGTTATAGAAGCATAAATTTATGTCAGGCGTCATAGCTCTTTGCTCCTCTCCAGTCTAATTTACCGAGCTTCCAATTAGGGCCAGCTCCGACTTTTCTATTCAAAGATGTGCATACATATAGTGCAACACTTGTGGAATTATCAAATCTTCTACGAAATGACTGCTAAACAGAAGTAGGGGCGATTAATAATAATGTATCTGGTTTAACGTCCCGAACCACGATGTGATTATGATCGACGCCGTAGTGAAGGGCTCCGGAAATTCGACCATCTGATGTTCTTTAGCGTGTATCAACATCGGATAGTACACGGGCCTCTTCCACTTCGCCTCCACCGAAATTCTACTTCCTCGGCGAACCTGTGACCTTCGAGTCAGCAGCCTAGTACCACTAACCACTAATCCTACAGACGCCGACAAGACGAGAAGATTGAGCTCGCCGGGGCATTCTTGTGACTTATTCTGAGCATCTCTGACGAGCTACATGCTCAACAACTAGTACGAAGACAGAAATAAGGAGCAATGAAAAGCTAGCTGAGGGTGTATCCGGTTTGCTACCCCACACGTGGAAAGGGAGACAGAAAAATGATGCGATGAGAAGTGACGAACACCTTCTACATCACTAGTCATCCTTACAACGTGAGCGCTGCACTATTGAACATAGGCGAAATCGCTAGGAGAGAACACTCCTCCGCAAACTTCGTGCGACTTAACGTAAGATAGCAGTATGCACTTTTTGGTCAAGCAGCCTTTGCGTTTTTTTTTCTCTTTTTATGACTTAACACCCTCCCACATGTGTAGGGTAGCAAACTTAACACATACCCGATGGACCATCGCGCCTTTAATTAATCTACTGGAACCTCACTCCACGCATTCTTGCATGCAGTTTTCAAAGTCGACTGGACTTAGCGAACGTTTGTGAACTGCTCGAGATATTTTTCTTTCTATTATCTTCGTTACCTTTATTATCTATTTATTCTGCTTTTTTTGCGAGAAAACTTATGAACAGGACGTATCAAACAAGTACTTATCCTCTGGGCGCGAAAAGTTATAGATAGGCAAAATTTAGTAAAAAACTGAAGCACCAAGTTGATACCTCCGTAAGTGCGCATGAAAAACAAATGCTGTGAAGTTTGCGTGCATTATAATCTAAAGCAGAAGGCGGCAATCTAGCTTTCGAGGCTGAGAGCCGAGTTGAATGAACACGGCAAGGTGTGGGCCTGACGGATATCGGGGTAAGTGTAGGTTGCAGGCAAGGAGAAAAAAATTCGGCAGCATCGATAATGACGTACAAATCCGGAATAGAGATCATGCCAACTGGAAGTAATTTTCCTTTCTTTCAGTCTAAACTCACTTGAGGTAAAAGCTGCCGTGTCGGTCTTAGATAGAAAGGGATAAGAGGAGGGAGTGGGGTTCTGAGATCGTGCCGGGAGCCGCAGGTTACTGACCACTGGTATATAAAGTGTGCAAATATTATATCGCTGACAGTTCTCACGAAAGGTGTCGTGTCGTTTACCTGGCACAGTTTCATAAGTGAGATTTATAACTTATTGATAAACTTAAGAACAGCAGTAGCATAGTCGCATTTTCCTTTTGTTGGCTTTGGGGTTTATGAAATGCATTGAAGGTCACAAAGTTTTCGTCTTTGCTCTGATCGCGGTATTGCTTCTTTTCTCTTTATTTAGTGCCAATAACTCTTTCTGAACTTACTTTGCAACCGAAATCTAACATTCCGCTACCGAACGGGCTCTTTTTTTCAGGAAAATACTTATTTTTAGCGTAGCAGGTTTTCTCAAACCGTTTCAGTGGCAGTATATGTTTGAAAGGAAAAACATTTGATACATGTAATTTAACACTGCGTTGCTTGATTGACGCTGGATAAGATTACGGAAAAGTGGTGAGTAATAACCGTTACCTGAGCTCATATAAAATAAAATGACGTTAATGCCAAAGACAATAGAGCGCATGAATAGGCAAGATAAATGTAAAGCATAGGCTTTACATTTATCTTGCTTTTAGTATGCAAGAAACTAGAGAGAAATGAAAGCCTCCTTGAAGGTGAGAGTTTACGAAGAACCTATATTTTAGACACCATCATGCGGAGAACGGTTAGTAAACGTCTACGAGCTTCAATGTGTCTAGAGGCACATGGAGGCACTGGGTTGTCCTCATTTGTCGGCTGCGTAGAGGGCATGACTGTAGCGTGTTAATAGCGCAACGAGGCACGCCACCGTATATTACCAGAGACACATAATTAGCGCACCTTATGGCGGATGCCCGTATAATACTTGAGTCACTTTGTTCTCTGGTTCGATGCGCCACTTATGTAAAACTGCACACACACACACACACACACACATGTTCGATGCTTATTCGGAGGTCGTAGGTTCGATTCCTTCTCACGGCAAGTTATTTTTCACCCACTTTTCTTTCTTCTTATTTACATTACATTGGTTCTAATAGCTGCCGCTATACATTTACTTGGCATTATGCCTGCTAGATCTCATATAGATATATATATATATATGATATATATATATATATTATATATATATATATATATATATATTATATATATTATATATATATATAATATATATAGAACAAATAGTCATTATAGAGCCATATATACATGACTAACTGCGATTAGGTCATCCCATAAGATGTCAGCGCACGAGGGGAAGGGGGGAGGGCGGTGCCCCTTTCCCTTAAAAACCCGTGAGAGGGTGTAAAGTATGCACCGTGCTGCTCTCATTCAGTCGGACTTGTCCCGTAACTGAATAATAGAAGGGTTCTAACCACGTAGGTTTCTGATGATTTAGATGGTGACCTTCGCCCTCTTTAAAAGAGCGGGTACACCAAATTTTGGATCATAATCTCTGTTATGAGGGTTAATACTTGCGCATTCACGAGTAAACTGGAAACATTTCAGCGTGTTTGGTCTAACGGTCATTTTTTACAAACACGTTAGTGGCCTGAAAGTCGGGCAACGCTTGCGCTCTCGCGAACCGTGACGTAACAAAGAGCTAGCTGTGCGAGCGTCTTCATTCCGGCGATCGTCGTTGTTCCGTGGTCAGCTGTGCATTAAGCCTAAATAGTTTAGTTATCTTCAACTTGGCACTGCAGTTGAACGATTTGCAGCGGCAGAAACTTCGGTACAAGGAGCCTGCTGCGTTCCTTCCGGAACATGACGTCACACGCGCCATAGCAATGTGGCGGTCTCTGGCGGTGAGCAGGGTCTATGGCCGGTGCCTTCTAGGGCTTGTTCTGCACTGGAATATTCTTTTGCGTCCACTTTTCATTCATGAATAGGCATAATAGACCCTCTACTTTCGTTTTTTTTTTTTTTGCTCAAAACCACTAATCGTTGAGTGACCGTGTCATGGCCTTCTTAATAACCTGATAAGTAGCCTCGCGCATGCCAGTTGAGTCGTTACAGTGACGTGTTGCGGACTAACGGCGTCAATGGCGCCTCTAGCGGGAAGTGCGTAGCAACCTACAGCGGTCGGCTCCAGGTGGTGGCGGCACCCTGGTCGCCATGTCGTGTCCGTCCAGGTACCCTCTGATCCCGACGCCGTACGCTGTCGGAGCCATGGGGCCCGGCCGACCCAGCAAGGCCTCGTCCATGCGCTTCAATAATCAGCAGGCCGGCCGCCCCCTGGTCACTTCTGCCCTGCGCACATCGCACGCCGTTTTCGTCTTACGCACGCCGTCTCACTCATTACTGGTCAGTGTTAAGTTAACTTAACGAAAGCAGGCTGCCTCTGAACCATATAGACCATTTACTTCGGGATTCGCTACAGGTCTATTATGTTTTTACTATAAACCTCCTCTCGTGCTAGTTTCTATACTTTCAATAGTGACATGGAATATATATTTTATACCGTATTTCACTCTGTTCTTCCGCGTACGGGTTTCTGTCCAATTTTCTTGGAACTGGGGTCATTATTGGCGTTCCACTTTTCATGATGGCTTTCCGGCGGTTTTGTGCTGTGTTTATCGTGCTTCAGTTGTGTTCTTCAATGGCTGTTATGCGAGATCATACAATCGCAACAACGGGCCCCTTAAAACAGGCACTTTGTATACTTTCGCTAGCTGAGACGAAGGACTGGCTTGCTGAGGACCAAGGACCAGTGCATGCTCGTGCATGGTACCGTCAAGGTTGTCATGCATGTGGCGCTGCAATATCGCCTATGCTTGGTAACCACAATGATTGACAGCATTGGTATGTACAAAAGCACTATTTCGCAGTTGCAGTATCTTGTCCTTTCGTTGCGAATTTCGTCCATTGCGTGCTCTATTTGGACGCAACGATAGCTCACTGTTTCGCCTGCGCCGGGGCGTCGCTTTTACTAACACTCACATTTCGACACTATACTTTGACGAAAAGTGTGCCGGATAGCGTCGATACCGTACATCATGACGGACATGTTGTACGTTTGTCTTTCTGTCCACGATGTACAAAACGTTTCATGCAGCTTTAAGCCAAATAGGCTTCACAAAGATAAATATTACTGGGGCGTGGACTCGACCGCCATAGGTGCTGCGGGAAACAACTAGCATTGCTGCGTTATTGCAAGACACGTAACGGTGTTATCTGAAGGAGTAAAATAACGTTCATCAATGCTTTCTCCGACAGCATGGTGAGCAATGATTTGTGCGCGTGTCAATCGTCTCGTATTTTTTTCCCCGTCTGTCCATCCCCCAGCGTGAAGTAGGAAACCACTGCAACCTGATTCATTTTTACGATTCCTATTTTTCTATTTCTATTTGTACTTATTTTCCCCCCGTTTAGATCTGTTCTCTCTTGATTGAGCCGATTCCCCATTCTTGGCGGCGTTCCTCGAAACCGTGCACAGTTTTTATAATCATGGTCACTGCGTAGGTCAGTCTTTTCATGCTCAAGCTTGAGAATAAGTTCACAAGCTTGAAAACAATCGCTAATACTAAATGAATCATTTCATAAAGGAGCTACTTATTAGCGGCGTCACATTGTATAGTAGCGTTTAATGTAATCTTTCTAGCTTCACGCCCCACTTACTTTTCAAAAGTCGACACTTTCGTATCGAAAGGTATATTCTCTTTGGCATCTTTGTCGCCTAAAGACGAGTTCAAAACATTTTTTTTTACTCTTCCAGTGCGTCCTGGAATCTTTTAGTCACTTTCATTTGATGCATTTATGCCTTTTTAGTTACCGTTATAGTAATAGCTTGACAATTGTTTTTGTTCATGCTTGCGTCCTAACTAATGTCTTGTTCCAGATTGCACGTTATACAGTACCGTTTGGTCGGATTATTTCCTAGCTTTCTTACTACATTTCTTTTTTTTAGTTCTCACACCGCTGCATGTACTTTGCTCAAAGGAGAAACCTATCTGTACATAACTTGCGTGAAAGTACGCGCGCCTTCTTGCCTTGGTATGAAATTAGAGCATTCTTGGAGATATCTTTACGGGATGCTCTTACCTTACAAAGAGTTCTTGAAGATCTTGAACGCCGTACCGGGGCCAACTGTGCCATTTTAGTGCATATTGTGAGGGCTAGTTGATGTACGACAAGCCAGTCCAATGATGTCAACTTAAAATTTCAATTGCAGTGAGAAGAACACCCCACCCATCATTTTAGATTCATCAAATTGGACTTGCAGACAGTGTCGTTCGATGTCTGCATTTATCAACGCCAGTGTGAGAACTAGAATTCACGATTTAGTAAATGTACAAGCAACACATCTTCCTATCGTGCATTTGGATGCACATGATTTTCCTAAACTATCGTGCCAGTGCTGCTCTTTGGCATGGTTATCTCAGTCAGCTATCAATATTCCAGTGCGTTGATTTCATACTTGCGTGACCGTTATCTTTCTATCCGGCTTATGGTGGTGATGACAAGTCCTCACAAGGATTCGGGAATCTAAGAATCATGCTTGAAGTGTCCCGTATTACTAGAACCGTCGCGTCACGCCAGTAGATTCAGTTTTTAGCATAGTTGTCAAGCTAATATGCGCGTGTTGCGGAACGTATGTAGCCTATAGAAAGGATGCACAGGTTTAGCGTACACTTCCTACTTACCCAGGCGGCTGGCTGCTTTACGTTTCGGTTGTCGATGTAGGTATAGATGACGTATGCGCCACTGATGATCACTAGAGTGGCTGTTTCAGAACCTGCATAATGGTGTTAATAAAAAAAAAACATTGACCAAATGAGTAACACTTTAGACAGGGGGCTGCTTTTGTAACCTCAACAGTATTGGAATTATAAATCATAAGGCTTTAACAATAACGTTTTGGGCGTTTAACGTTCCAAAACCATGATATGGCTATGGGGAATGCCGTGGTAAAGGAGCCTGGTAAACTTTAGCACCTGGTGCTCTTTAATAGTCACATGAATCCGAGTACACTGGTCCCTAGCATTTTGCCTCCATTGAAATGCAGCCTTCGCAGGCGGGATTCTATCCCGCGACCTTCGGCTCAACTGTCGGGTACCGTAATCATGAAAGCTACACTACGGGGGCCTTTGATGAGACTCACTTACTATACACATATCTGACAGGCCGACTCTTGTGGCATTCAGAAGCAAAAAAAGGATAATCATAAAATATAAAGAAAAACGACTTAGACGGCCACTGCTGCATAAACTCTGAATTCCACAAACTGGCCAATAAAAAGTGACATTGAGGAGCTAGTTCTGGTTATAATAACATATTTAAGTAACAACTGTTAGGAAAAACAATCGTTTCGCTTAATTTAAAGGCGGTGCTGGCAAGTTATTTATGCGCGGTCCACTCGCTATTGCTTAGTACGGATTTGTAAGATTACTGAAACAAAGAAAAAGTTGAAGTTGAATTCCTAGGCATTGTAAGCGTGACAGCTTACATGACCATTCAGTGCTCCAATACCTCGCTCAGCTGACATAAAAGGATGCCATGCTAAGCTATTACACTCAGGATCTGACTTGAAATATGGGTAATCTTCATTTTATAAATAGGTGATGCCAGAATCACACAATAGCAGATCTCGTCCAATGATTAGTATGCAGTCAATCGAACACGCAACTTTCTGTTCCAGTTAGTAGCTTTCTGAGAGGCTCCCAACCAGACGGCCTTCATATTTTGCCGAGAGCCTTTGAGATGCTCTTTCGCTTTTCTTTATCACACTCTATTCGTACGTTATACGGCTGCATCAAGTTACTCATCACGTTATAATGTTCCTTACGGCTTCAGCAAATTTGACAGCGACAACAAAGTGACTACATCTGCTAATCAATTCACGAGGTGGCGGCACACGCACTAATTAGAGATTGTATGTTCCTTAAAGCAGCAGGACATGTCCAGAGGATAGTTACAGTTTTTCTCGACGAACTCAGGGAGGCGATTCGCTTGCTCTCCACGGCCCACACGTCGTCGATGTCGCTCAACCGGCGGCGCCCGCGTCCGAGCGCACCTGTTGCATCGCGGGCGGGACAACTTGGTCCTCCAGCTTCGGAGTTGCAAGGAGCAGCACGGGCCCGCTCCGGCGAGAGGGATGAGGGAAGCTCGGGGAAAAGAGGGAGACGGTGGAGGAGAGAGGGCACGCCGGGACGCACGTGCTGCGACGGGGGCGGTCTTCGGAACGGGGCCGGCGCCCCAGGCCCGGCCCCTGACTTCGGCCGCGTACGCCTGCGCTCCTCCTCACCGGTTGCGGTAGGAACGGCGTCGAGAATGTGGGAGTAGGAGGGAAAGAGAGATTGGGGAAAGAACACGGGAAAGAAGGTAGAGAGGAACAGTAGCGCGTGCGTCGGGCGCCGCTCGGAGACAGTGACCGGCTCGTTGTGTTTCTATATACTGGGTACGACGAATTTTATTGCGGTCGCTGAGGCGTTGCTGCTGCACGTACCTGCTCTACTCCGGTCAGTGCGAGTTTGGAATGCCAGGGTGGACTCTCGTTCCGTCGCTTCTTCTGCAAGAAACAGAAAAAAAAAATGCGCGCATAGAGAGAAAAAACGTCGACACGTGGAGAAACTGATAAATAAAAACAAAGGAGACTACGACATAAACGTGAGATGTTCTACGCATGTGTAGAGAACACTACCAAGCCCCGGCTGGGTGAAAATAAAACCGAGAGCGCGTGTGGTGGCGCTGCCTATTAAAACTTTCGAGCAAAATACGTCAGTGACGTTTGGTCTCCTCTTCGCCCCCTACGTCTACACAAGCTCACGCATGTTTGAAACGGAGATTACAGCTGACTTGGTGGCATTGAAATACTTGAGCTTGTAGCTGTCACAAGAATACTGACCAATGTTCATAACGCTGAAAGGGTAGTTTGATAGATGCGAGTTCTTAAGAACATTTTTTTGAGAAAAAAAAATGTCATGTCTTAATTTGTAAAGCGACTTTCACTGCAATAAGCATGTTAATGTGGAAAAGCTAACTTGCATTAGAAAGTAAAGCCGAAAGGTGTGTATGGGGGACGTACAATTCAGAGTAGACAGTAGCATGTTAATGCGATAGCCATTACTATGTATGAATATTGCTATGCGGTAAACATTAGTGTGGTGCATAAGCACTGCAGTGAAGCATTGTACAGAAGCAGTGGCGAAACAGCCTCTTCGTAACAATAATTTGTCGGAGATGCCAGCATATGAGAGGCTGTATG